CTGTAGCACCTAGTGCTGCGAGCCCCTGGGCAAGGAGGAGCCAGTGGGGAATCTCTCATGCGTCTATTTCGGTGTGTGTTTTTTGTTTTTTTTTCTGTTTGAGGTTGTTGATCATATAGACAAGCAAGGGGCACTGCACCAGCTGCGTAGGGGAGTTAATATCTGACAACTGTGCCGCCATCCCCCCAGCTGCCAGGTTGACCTGCTTCTGACTAGTAGCTAGAGCAGAGGCTGTGCAGTAGTGCAGGTTTCTTTGCCACCTGTTTTCAGTCACTGTGATGTCTTGACACTCAGTTTTCAGAAGACAGTTACTAGGCATCTGTTGCAGGATGGTAATACAGTGCTGTGGCAATAGTGTGTTTTTTTTTTCTCTGTCAGCATTTAAATTGATTTATTTGGTTGTCTGAAGGCAGTTGGGATGGGTAAGTACATGAAGTTTCAATTGTCTGATGTGCAAGTGGCCTGCAAGAATCTTATTTAAAACAAAAAAGGCAGGCTAAGAGAAGCATGTGGTAGGAACTGAGAGCAGCTCTCATTATCTCCATAGCATATTACATTTCTGGCAATATTATCAGAAAGATGTCCTTAAAATGCTACCATGTTTTCATACTTCTCTGAAAGTACCAATGTAACTCTGTTCAAAACTTGTTTTTCCTGCCAGTGCATTGATCCTGGCAGTAGCAAATGCTTTGTGGCTTGGAAATACATAAAGTATGCCTCACTATGGGAAACTTCAAAGGAGGAAAAATGTTAATCGGAGATTCTGAAATTGCAGAAAAGACGATAAATTACAAATATTCCTTATGTAATACTATGAAGGGAATTGAATATTGTGTGTGGTTCATAGAAACTCTTATAACTGGATTTAGAGCAATTATTAAATTCTGTAGTTTTTAATATTGATAATTCCTCTAACTCATTTCCAGCTTTGTTCTTAGCAAGATACCTGGAGGATGAAACGTGGCTTGACATTGAATTGATCCTAAACAAATCCAACTTTCTTTCTTTACAGGAAAGCAAACCATGGGGTTTCCAGTTTATAACTACAGGGACCGCTCGGATAACAAGCTGTACCTCCTCCATACTCCCCAGAGCCCTCTGGTGAGGCCCAGAATGTACGACTTCTACAGCATGGACAGCTACCCGGTCGGTACCAACGCCATTGTGGCTGTCATCTCCTACAGTGGCTATGACATGGAAGATGCAATGGTGAGCCACCAAAAGAAGGAATTTGTTAAGAAGATGAGCACTGGATCAGAATGGAAATGCTTTCCTTGAAGTTACTAGCAAATCTCTAACAGGTCTTTTTTTCTTCCTCTTAGATTGTGAACAAATCTTCCTGGGAGAGAGGGTTTGCTTACGGAAGTGTTATCAAGATGGAGAGCATTGACCTTTCCCTTAAAGCCAACAGGGGAGATGATAATTTAGTATTTGGTGCCAGGCCTGGTGACCCGAATGTTGCAGAGAAGTTAGATGCTGATGGACTGCCTTTTATTGGCTCCATCCTACAGCCAGGGGATCCCTTCTACAGCTACATGAACCTCAACACAGGGGAGACCTTCACTGTGTACTATAAGTAAGTTCAGCTTATCCTTCCTGGCCCCAAACAAACATGCAGTTGGGAGCAGTCTGATAGCAGTGGCCCCTGATCAGCTGCGTGATATTCCCGGGGGTTCCTTTCCTGCTCACACTCACATGGTCACAAAACATGCACGTGTTGATGGAACATGAAATTCGTGGTACAGGTGACTTAACGTGCATGTTTTGTGGCTTTCCTCTAAACCATTGTATGCTGAAGAGCTGCAAAGCCTGACTTACCCAGGAGACAGATCTGAGACTGGTGAAAAGAGAGCTTCCAGAAATGTTTTGCTGTCTCCCCAGAACTCTTCCCGTGACATTTTTTGCTGCATTTTGTTAATTGAATAGGATAAAGTGTTCTGTCCAAAAAAAACCACACAAACAAACACCGCACCACCAACGCACAAAACAACAACAGCAAAATACAAGAAAGTGCTTGGTCACCAAAGACTGCACTCATATGTATGCAGTTATCCATACAGCTTGAGGTCTTTTCTGTGTCTGTCTACAACATTTATAGTGTGAGGATTATGCTATTTATTATTCATGTTGAGAAGGCAAATCAGATCAGATCCAAATCGGGTCATTATTTGGATTCCTATGGAGACGTGTAGTTCCCTGCCCTCAGTGTTGGCTCCTGCCCCCAGTTTCCCCAGGGACCCTGCACCCTGAAGTTCTCCTTAGCGTCAGAAGTGTGCTGCAGGTCTTAACACTGCCAGGTCTTAAGCACAGCTAGGAAGAGATGAACAGAGGCTTTGACTTACAATTTCGAACAAGCTTGCAGTTCTTTTCTTTTTTTTTTTTTTTTTTTTCTTCTTGTGATGGTCTCTACTTTGATTGCATTCAAAGGACAACGGGGGAAAAACCTCTAAAACAAGTTGAGAGTTTGGGCAGTGTAACACAAGTTAAGCCTGCAGCAGGCACCCACCGTGTGAAACATCGGGCTGTGGGTGCACGTGGAGAAGCAGCACACCCCTGAACTTGTTGGCAAAGGCTGTGTCAGCTCACACCATGCCTTTACTCTCTGTTCCTGAGCCTTCCTCTCTTACTTTGCTCTAAACGTATTTATTTATTGATTTCAGTATCCCACCAGGACAGTGAGAATTTACTGGGGAGGCAGGGATGCTGCTGACTCAAAACAAAAGTTTTCTCAGATTGGGTGTGACATTGATGAACCTGGTTTAAATTACTTTTAATTGAAGTCATGGATGGCACACTACCTCATCGCATGGCAGCTTGCAGCTGTGCTTCTAGCATTAGAAACAACAAATGGATGGCACTTGTGTGATGCTTTTTTATCTTTTTTTTTTTTTTCTCAAATTCTTACACAGTCTGATTTCCCTGAATGGTATTTCCCAAGAAGTGCAGTGATCCCGAGCGCTTTATTAGACTAAAAAAGTGGTTTGGTTTCCTTCCTCTGCTTCCCTTCCCTAGAAACCATGAGCCTGTCTGACCCCTTTGCTGTGAATGTTTCTCTACCCACACAGGAATAAGGAGGTGGGCATTGTAGACAACATCAAGTTATGCAGCAACGACCGCGGCACCGGGAAATTGAAGAAGGTTTGCATCACCTTGAGAGTTCCCCGAAATCCAACTGTGGGCGACAAATTCGCCAGCCGTCACGGGCAGAAAGGCATCCTGAGCCAGCTGTGGCCGGTTGAAGACATGCCGTTCACGGAGAACGGGATGGTCCCAGACATCCTCTTCAACCCCCACGGGTTCCCCTCCCGTATGACCATCGGGATGCTGATCGAGAGCATGGCGGGGAAGTCGGCAGCGCTGCACGGCGTCTGCTACGACGCCACTCCCTTCACCTTCTCGGAGGAGGACTCCGCTCTGAAATACTTCGGCGAGACGCTGGTGAGCGCGGGTTACAACTTCTTCGGGACGGAGAAGATGTACAGCGGGATCAGCGGCCTGGAGCTGGAGGCAGATATTTTCGTGGGAGTCGTGTACTACCAGCGCCTGCGCCACATGGTCTCGGACAAGTTCCAGGTGAGGACGACGGGCCCTCGGGACTCCGTCACCAACCAGCCCATCAAGGGGAGGAACGTGGAAGGTGGGATTCGCTTCGGCGAGATGGAGCGCGACGCGCTGCTGGCCCACGGCACCTCCTTCTTGCTGCACGACCGCCTCTTCAGCTGCTCTGATGGCTCCGAAGCTTACGTCTGCACGAGCTGCGGCAGCATGCTCTCTCCTCTGCTGCAGCGGCCACCGCCGTCCTCCGTGGCGAGCAACAGGAGGTATTCCTGCTTGCTGTGCGGCCGGGTGGACACCATCCAGGTCATCCCGGTGCCCCACGTCTTCCGTTACTTCGTGGCAGAGCTGGCAGCCATGAACATCAAGCTGAGGCTGACGCTGGAGCCGTGATTGTGCTGCGGGGAGGGAGGAAGAACGCGTTAGTCCTGCGTTTGCCCCCGGTGGGCTTGAAGCTTTCAGTCCGTTCTCAAGTTCTTCAAACGGTTGCAAGGTTAATTTGAGGTTTGTACCGAGACGGGGCCGTCTCAGCAACTCGTGAAGCTGCATCGAGAAGAAATGCAGCTCCGCCGACTTTCGTTTACCCTTCGTAAAGGATCACTAGCTGTCGAGATACAGTGTATGGAAATCAAGCAATATCACTGCTCCCACCAGGAAAGTGTGTGGGGGGGTCCTCGTTCTGAGTGCTGGCTGCAGCCGCGGAGAGAAAGAGGTCAGAGAACAGCATGAAGTAAATGCTGGGACTGGCAGTGCGTTGCACTGCTCTGTAACTTTTTATTTTATTATATATATTTTTTTTGCATTTGGCTGAAGAAGAGAAGTAGATACGGCTTTGCAGCCTGGCTCCTACCTTGGCTCCAGCAGCTCTGTGGTGCCGGGGTGGGAGCAGGCACAAAGCCCAGGCTCCCGGTCTCAAGTCCCTGGAGGCAGCAGCACAAATTTGATGCCCCACGCGTGTTTGGGGAGAGCCGGGCTGCTGCTGGGATGTGCTGGGCCCTGCTGCTTGCGGCGAGGGCACAAAGGAGAATTTTTCACTTGTTAAGAGTTCTTTATATGTTTTCTTAAATAAAAATAATTCTTTTGGAGCTGGTGCCTGGTGGAAGGGAAGGGAAGGGCAGGGAAGGGTTTCCCGTGCCTCCTGCACTCAGGGCCGGCCGGGGCGGCTCTCCCAGGGCTTTTTGGGCCGCGGCAGGCTGGAGGCCGTGGGGTGTCCCCGGTGGGGGCTGCCCGTGGGCTGCGCACCCCCGGCGGGCTGCGGCCGCTGCGCACCAGCCGCAGGAGCTCGGCGAAGGAGGAGGGGGCGGCTGGGGCGTCCTCGTCCCCCCCTGCGGGCTGCGGGGAGGGCGCGGTGGTGCGGGCCGGCTCCATGGCGCTGCCCGGGGCCGTACCGCGGCGGAGGGGCGGGGAAGGGGGGGGCGGGACCACGGCGGAGCCTGCCCCAGCCTCGCAGCCTCCTCCCCCGGGGGCTGGGAGGTGCGAGGGGCAGGTGGAGGTGGCGAGGGGCTGAGCCCTGCTCCTGCTGCTGGTCCTGCTCCTCCTGCTGCTGCTCCTCCTGGTCCTATTGCTGCTGTTGCTGCCATGGAGGTGCTCCGCATGCTGCTGGCCTCCACCCTGCTCCCTCTCCTGCCCCGTGAGTACCGGGGGGACAAGGCACAAGGGTGGCAGGTCCTCCACCCATAGCATGGGAGCAGGATGGTGGTCATCCACGGCGAGGTGCTAAGGGCGAGGGGATGCCAGCGCTTAGCCACGGTGCCACCCTGCCTCCTCGCAGCCTCCGGAGCCTCTGTGCCCACCCTGGCTCCGCCGTTGACCATGGTGGTGGACGGGCAGCGCCGGCAGCTGGTGGTGTGCGTGGTGAGCGACGTGCCGCCCGGCTCCGGCGACGCCGTCTGGATCTCCAGCGGGAACGGCAGCGCCCTGCAGTCCTTCACCTACGGGGCCTCGCCGGAGGACGGCGGCACCGTCTGCGCCGTCTCCATCCTCCCCGAAAGCCCCCCGCAGGGTGGGCTGCTGGCTTGCCACGTGGGGCCCAACAGCACCGCTCCGGCACGCAGCTCCAGCCCCATCCCCGTCACAGGTAGGGTGTCCCCGCTGCCCGGCTCGGTGGGAACGGGGCCGAACGAGGCTCCCGTGATGGTGGGGTGCAGGTGCGAGGCCCCGCGGGCGAACGTTGCCCTCGGTTTGGGGCGCAGGAAGGGGTTTGTGGCCGGCCCCAATGTGCACCTGCAGCCACCTCCCCAGCTGCTCCCCGTCCCGCAGGCAGAGGTGAGGAGGCAGAGCTGTGCCCCAGCACCGTGATCGGTGAGTGCCCGGCCCCGGTGGTGGCCCAAAAATTCACCGACAGGGAGGAAACCCCGCTGGGAGGCTGGAGGCTGGGGTGGGGATGGAGGTTGGGGTGGGGATGGACTGGGGAGGGGGTGAGGGGGCGTTAAACTGGGTTCTGGTGGGGATGGTGAACGTTTTGGTGTGGAGGCTGGGGTTGGAAGCTGGAGATGGAGGCCCAGAATAGAGGCTGGAGATGAAGGCTGGAAATGGAGACTGGGGATGGAGGTTGGGGTTGGAAGCCAGGGATGGAGACTGGGGTTGGACACTGGGGTTGGAAGCTGGTGATGGAGGCCCAGGATATAGGCTGGGGTTGAAGGCTGGAGATGGAGGCTGGGGTTGGAAGCTGGAGTTTGGAGGCTGGAGATGGAGGTATGGGATAGAGACTGGGGTTGAAAGCTGGGGATGGAGGCAGGGGTTGGAGGCTGGAGATGAAGGATTGGGGTGGAGGCCTGGGATAGAGGCTGGGGTTTGGAGGCTGGAGATGGAGGTCTGGGACAGAGACTGGGGTTGGAAGCTGGGGATGGAGACCCAGGATGGAGGCTGGGGTTGAAATCCATGGATGGAGGCTGGAGATGGATGCCATGTGAGACCCCAGGAATCCCACAGCCCCCCCAGCCTGGAGGCCACCCGCCCAGCCTCGCCGCACTTCTGGAGGCCGTGTGGGGACGGTGCGGCCCCCCGGCCTCCTGTGGGAGCTACGTTGGCCTCCCCTCTTCCAGGGCCTCGTGCCTGTGGCTCCGCCGCCCTGCTGGCGGCCGCCCGAGTGGTGCTGCTGAAGGTGGCGCTCCTCGACGCCCTCCTCACCTCAGCCATCATGGCCCAGGGGTGAGTGCCTGGGGGGGGGGGGGGGGGCAGCACCCTGCTGGGTCTGGGGGCGCCCCCACGGGACGGGCAGCGAGGAGCCCCCCCGGTGCTGCAAGCACGGAGAGCCCCCTTCAAGGCTGGGGGGGTTGGGAGGGGAGCGGGGTCCCCGCTGCTGCAGGGGGGGGACCCCAAAATCTGGGGATGGGGAGGGTGGGTGGGTGTGTGGGGGGGGAGGTAAGGGCACTGCCCACACTTGGGGCCCCTCCATCCCGGGGGCAGGCGGTGGGCGGGGCTTGTCGTGGCGCGCGGGCTGCGATTGGCCGGGCGCGCCACGCAGCCCGCTCGGATTGGCGGTTGCCGTGGTTACCGGGGCGAGGCGCGGCCGGATGCGTGGCCCCGGAAGCGGAGCCATGGCGGCTGTGGCGGCGGCTGTGGCGGCCGAGGGCCCCGCCGCGCTCCTCCTCCTCCTCCTGCTGCTGGCGGCGGCGGGCGGCGACGACTCGGACTGGGTGCGGCTGCCCAGCAAGTGCGAGGGTGAGCGGGGACGGGGACAGGGCTGCGAGGGGGAGGCGCTGAGGAAATAAAGCGCTGCGGCCGCCTGAGGGAAAATGGGGGGGGGGGTGAGGGGGTAAAGGGGGGGGGCGGTTGGGCCCTGCCCTCACACGGCCCCCTCAGGGGTGGGAGGCCTCGGTGCTGTGGGGAGGGGGTGGGATGTGCCGTGGGGCTGCTGTGGTGCACGAGGAGCCTTCCTCCTCATCCTTCTCCTCAGCCTCATCCTCCTCCTCATCATCATCCTCAAAAATGAGGCCGTGGGTGGCTGCCCAATGTGGCTCTGAAGGGCTCCCGCAGGTGGAACTCGGCCTCCCTAACGTTAGCACAGGGATTTGGGTCTGATTTGGGTCTTCCCCTCGCTTCAGGGGATCTCAGCACAACCAGCTGAGGTGCTGCTGTTTGCTTTTTTGGACACAAATGATGTCGGCTCTGCTCACATCTCCATCCAGCCCTTCTCCCAGCTCTCATTCCCCAAGCAGTCCCGTTCCCCGGGAGCCCCGAAAGCCTCCAACCCGCCTGTGCTTTCCGCCCCGCAGTGTGCAAGTACGTGGCGCTGGAGCTGAAATCTGCTTTTGAGGAGACCGGCAAGACCAAGGAGGTGATCGACACCAAGTATGGCTTCCTGGATGGGAAGGGCTCCGCCGTCAAGTACACGCAGTCGTAAGTGAGAGCGGGGCAGGGGCTCCTGCTGCATTTGGTGCCTGCAGAGCTGGGGCCTTGCTGAGCCAGCAGGTAGGCTGCACGGGCCTAAAATGCACCAGGGCTTGGCAGCGTGGGCAGCATGGCCTGGGAAATGCGTCTCCTGCTCCAGAAAGGCTCAGCCCCACACCCTGGCTGTTCCTGGGGAGCAGCACTGAGCCCTTCCCCTCCCTCCTGTCTGTGCAGGGACATCCGGCTCATCGAGGTGACGGAGAACATCTGCAAGAGGCTGCTGGATTACAACCTGCACAAGGAGAGGAGCGGCAGCAACAGATTTGCAAAGGTGGGGGCGGCCCTTCAGTCCCTCGCCTCCCTGCACGCTACTGGGGCACTGAACTGTGGTTCATTCTTCCTGTCCTCTGGGTCCCTAGCCAGCCATCTGCACATGAGGCCTCAGAAATTGGGTCTGGGGAGGGAGATACACACCCTGTGCCTGTCTGTACCCCGGGCAGCACTCTGGGGACAGAGCAGGAGCTGGGCAGGGAACGTCACCTCACGGGGTGGCTCTCTTCCCCTGCAGGGCATGTCGGAAACCTTTGAGACCCTGCACAACCTGGTGCACAAGGGCGTCAAGGTGGTGATGGACATCCCCTACGAGCTGTGGAACGAGACCTCCGCCGAGGTGGCCGACCTCAAAAAGCAGGTACCTGCCCGCCGGGGGCAGCCCGCTGCGGCTCTGCAGGCTGGGGGAGGATCTGTGGGTGCTGGCAGGACCTGGCACCCTGCTCCCACCCCCCGTGCTGGGATCTAGGCTCTCCTTTCTCTGCTAGTGCGACGTGCTGGTGGAGGAGTACGAAGACGTGATCGAGGACTGGTACAGGCACCACCAGACAGAGGATCTCTCCCAGTTTCTCTGTGCTGACCACGTGCTAAAAGGGAAGGATGCGAGTAAGTCTTGGCTGCTCCCAGGGGTGACGGGCACGTATAGGGCAGAGCGGGGTGGCCTGATGAGGGTGTGGGGAGACCCGGTTCTCCCTCAGGGCTTTGCTTCTCTCCCCAGGCTGCCTGGCAGAGAAATGGACCGGCAAGAAGGGCGACTTGGCGAGCTTGGGGGAGAAGCCGAGCAAGAAAAAGAGCGGAAGAAGAAGAAGAAAACTGTGAAGGAGCAGAGCGAGGGCATCGAGAGCCTCCACGATGCAGGGGCCACCCTGGAGGAGCACGGTGTCCAGGAGGAGGCCCCGCTCCCCCACAGCCCTGCTGATGAGCTGTAGGCGGGGGCTGGGAGCCCGAGGCATGGTGCTCACCCCAAAAGTACTGAAGGGGAAGGGGTTTGCTCCACACTGTGGGGCCACGGCCCCGGCCAGCCCTGGCATGGACTCACCAGCCCCTGTAGGCTCCAGCGAGCCGGGGCAGGGGGCAGTTGTGGCAGACTGAGAGGTACGGACTCCGATGTGCAGGACGAAACGAAACTTTATTAGGCGAGTGTGCTTCTTTATATTCCCTAGGTACAGAGGCCGGTCATTTTCCGGTAACATGTATTAAAATACATAAGAAATCAACAGAGATACTGTGAGTAGCTTCAACAGGTGCATAGCCCAGCGTCCCAACCCAAAACCACCCAAAAAATTGTTAATCCATCCCCACTCACCATCCTGCCTGAGTTTATCGACCCCCTCCCTTCCTTTCTGGATGCTTTCATGAATGGACCCGGGTGTTCCTCCCCACGCGCAATCACCGTGGATAAAGATCTCTGAGGGGAGTGCTGAGGGCACGTTGGTGGAGTGGAAGATGTTCGGGCTGGCACAGTTGCAGCAGGCTGTGCTATTTCTATATATTGATAGAGAGGAATTAATATTTTGTGCTATAGGTTGATTTTTACCGGTGTAATTAAAATACAAGCAGCTGTCCATTTTGATGGAACCTAAAAGGACGGCGATGGCTGTTGTGATGATGGTGGGGCCCATCTCGGCCCTGTATCTCATTTCACCGAGCGGAATGTCGGAGTTTACAGCGACGGGAAGGGCGCTGTGCAGGTCCTGTGGAGCCAAAACCGCCTTATCCACGAAAGTGTTATTGTGACTCAGAGGATCCAGCACGGAAAGCCGCAGAAGCCTGCGTTAAAGGGTTAGCCTGATGCTGTTGGTGCCCACCTCTGACATGCATCTGTCAGGTCTGTAAGTGCAGGATGTCGCAGAGTTTTTAAGACCCGTTGGCAACCTGCATGAGCATTTTCAACCGCCAGCCATTTCAACAAAACTTCCCAAGCCGCAGCATGATCTACTTACCTGTAAAGGGCACCTACCAGCTGGTCCAGAAATTGCATACAAGACCCCTGCGGTCCTTGCTCTGTGGAGACAGAAGGCTGTGCAGGCTTTCCAGCATCTCCACGTAACCGACCACCCTCTGGTCATCCTAGGTTTTTGACTGCTTGTTGGCCCACTAGCCGGCGCCGTTGGCCAGATCACACCGTGAACTGAGGGGCTGTTGGAAGTATTGTGCTGTACTCTGACAGTTGTGCAGCGCCAGGACGTGCGTTTCAGACACTGACTGTCAAAAGCTCACAGTGTATGGAAAATTGTACGGTCATGGGAGCCTCCGCCTGGCCCCTAGGTGTCTGGGTGGGCTGTTGGAGGGTACTGGACAGCGATCACCCTGCTGTGAGCAGTCCCACTGCTTTCTGCTGTCACCTCATTGTGGCCGAGTCCTGGAGTTTAACCTGTATTTGGACCCAGGTCTTAGGCTTGTAGATTGAACTAGCCCTGATTGAATCAGTATTTTGGGTCTTTGGCAGGTATAACTTTCCCATGTTTTTTGTTTGGTTGTTTTGTTTTGTTTTTCCATTCTTTTTGCATTATGGTTAACACCATTTCCTGTGCCTGGGCTGTTTTGCTCCCCGTAGCCCTCGGCTGCTTCCCTCCATCCCACGGAAGGCGCTTAGCCGTGCATAAACCCTCTCCCTCTCAGCGACCCAAGTTCGCCAGGGGTGAGCGAAGTGCCCCGGGTGCCTTTTGGGGCAGATCGAGATGTAGCAACCTCCGACGTGCTGCATCAAAATCAAGCTTCAAGGTTGAAATCAAGCAAGACAAGCGCGCTCCTTACACACCCTAGGCGCAGAGGCCAGTTAACTTCCCACTTGTGCCCGCAGGAGCTTTTCACGGTGCTTTCCGCAGGACCTCGTGCGTGTCATGCACACCCTCAGCGCTGCTGTTTATCATGGCAGTACTCCTCCTCCCTTACTCCTCCCTTACTCCTCCCTTACCTCCCCTTACTCCTCCTTACTCCTCCCTTCTCCTCCTTCTCCCGTGCTTCCTCCTGCCTCTTCCCACAGCTTCCAGCCCCTCCGTTCCCCCCGGCTCCCCCCTTGGACTCCGCAGCCCCCCGCTGGGCTGCACCGCAGGCGTCGCCCCGACCCCCGCCACCCGCGGGCCGTGGCGCGCAGCCGGAGGAGCGGGCGGCGCGGATTGGCCGAGAGGGCAGGCGGGGGGCGTGGCGCGGGAAAGGGCGCGGCAGGCGATTGGCTGGCGGCGGGGGAGTGCGGGGGCGTGGCGAGGGAGTGGCGCGCCGGGAGGAGTGGCGCGCCCGGCACAGGGGGGAGTGGCGCGCTGCGAGCGGGGCCGAGGCCGGAGCGGGGCCGGGACCGGGACCGGGACCGGAGCCGGGGCCGGAGCCGGAGCCGGAGCGGGCGGCGGGATGGTGGACAGCGTGTACCGGACGCGGTCGCTGGGGGTGGCGGCGGAGGGGCTGCCGGACCAGTACGCGGACGGGCGGGCGGCCCGCGTGTGGCAGCTGTACATCGGGGACACGCGGAGCCGCACGGCCGAGTACCGCAGCTGGCTCCTGGCGCTGCTCCGCCAGCACCGCTGCCGCTCCGTGCTCGACGTGGCCTGCGGCACCGGGTGAGGCAGCCCCCCTTCCCTCCCCAAAGCCCTCCGAGCCCTGCTGGGCGCCCCCTGACAGCCGTGTCCCCAGGGTGGACTCCATCATGCTGCTGGAGGAGGGCTTCCAGGTGACCAGCGTGGACGCCAGCGACAAGATGCTCAAGTACGCGCTGAAGGAGCGCTGGGAGCGGCGCAAGGAGGAGCCCTTCGACCGATGGGGTGAGCTGGGGGAAGCTCGCGGGGTAAGGGTGGTGTTGGGAGGTGGGGGTGGGGGGTGGGGAGCTGCCCTCACGCGTTCCCCTGCGCTGCAGTCATCGAGGAGGCCAACTGGCTCACGCTGGAGAAGGACCTGGAGAAGCCAGGGGACGGGTTCGATGCTGTCATCTGCCTGGGCAACTCCTTCGCGCACCTGCCTGACTTCAAAGGTGAGGCTGGGAGGGGTGGGAGGGCTCGGGGAGGGGTCACATACCCACCTCTACCCCTACTCATAGCCCAGGAGGCTGAGAACTTTCCCTAACTCATGGCACGAGCGGGTTAACCAAGGCGGTGTTGCTGCGTCGCCAGCGAACGTGCCCAAGTTCATGGCACGAGCGGGGCCACCAGGCCTGGGGTGGCGGGGCTGCGTGCGTCGGTGTCGCGTCCCTGGCAAGGCTGGAGGCACACCCAGACTCGTGCCACAAGTGGGGCTGTGGGTTCCCTGCGCTGCCCCGGCGAGGCTGAGAACGTGCCTGAGCTCATACCCTGGGTGGGGCTGTGGGTTCCCCGAGCTGAGAGCTGAGGGGGGGGGGTGCAAGGATTTGTGTACGGGTGAAATGAGGGGGGTGGCGGTGGTCCTGGGGGTACGAGGGCACAACTCCTGCCTGGGGACGCCGCGGTTCCCTCCGCAGGGGACCAGAGCGACCACAAGCTGGCCCTGAGGAACATCGCCAGCATGGTGCGGCCGGGGGGCGTCCTGGTCATCGACCACCGCAACTACGACCACATCCTGGCCACGGGCTGCGCGCCGCCCGGCAAGAACATCTACTACAAGGTGGGCAGCTGCCCGACCCTGCCCTTCCCCAGGCCCCTCTGCCCCAACCCCGCTCCCCAGCCCCTTTCCCATGCCCCTCCTGTGCTCCCCAGAGCGACTTGACCAAGGACATCACCACCTCGGTGCTGCTGGTGAACAACAAGGCCCACATGGTGACCCTGGACTACACCGTGCAGGTCCCCCGACGGAGGCGGGGGCCTCCCCGGAGCTGAGGTGAGAGGGGGCCACCAGGGCGGTCCCTGGTGGGCACCGAGCCCCCCCAGCCTCACCGCCGTTGCCTCCTCGCAGCAAATTTCGGCTCTCGTACTACCCGCACCGGCTGGAGGCCTTCACGGCGCTGCTGAAGGGTGCCTTCCAGGGAAGTGCCAGCACAGCGTTCTGGGTGACTTCCAGCCCTACACGCCGGGGCAGGCCCACATCCCCTGCTACTTCATCCACGTCGTGAAATTCAGTAAATTGTTGCGTGGCAGTGCTGACTGTACCTGGCTTTACAGATCTTCAGCTGTTTTTTCGTACTTAAAGATCTGTGAATAAAATAATGAGCCAGGTCAAGGCCGTGGTTTTGGGGTTGAAATAGATATTCACTGTCTGTGATCTCGCAGCTGTCTGGTCTTTAGGTTCATGTTTGCTCTGGGCCTTTTTTTCCAGGCAATTACTGCAGAGGGCAACTAAAGCTCTGAATGCTGTTTCAGGGTCTAAATAACCCCCACAAGCATGTGTTTGAAAAAAGAAGGCAAAGATGCAAGTAACTGTCATGCTTGGGGGTCCCTCTGGTCCTCCTAGTTGTCGCTTCAAACCAGAGTGGTTTTCTGTCATATTTTCCCTATGGATGTTGGTTGTTGTCACCAGGGCCCCAGGTATTGCCTTGGGCATCGTTCACCTGTTGCACATCCGTGTTCTGGGGGAGGCCGTGCGCTGCTGCCCAGACCTGCATTACCCCTTGGGGAATGTCTTATAACATTTCCCAGCCCTTTATCTGAGCCAAAAAGGAATCCTGCTGTAAATGCCAAAAAAAAAACCAGCAAGGTCGTTTCCTAAGATCTTTGTGTCATGGTGTACTTCCCTGCATCTTCCTACTGCACTTAAGAGTAAATCCTGGCTCTTAAAAACTGCCACCAGCAAATGGAGAACATTTTTGAGTGGCTCTGCCCGCTGCCAGTGTGAATTAGGAAATGGTTATTTTCTTTTGGAAAATGGAAGCGGCATGTTCAAAACAGACTTGAATAAAAGCATGTTTTTTCTTCCCTGATAGAAAAAAAATGCTGGAGCCGGTACCAGCTGAGAGCCTGTTTCTTTGATGAAGGGCAAGGAAACAGCTTCTTTTTCTTCTCTGCTGCTGCAGATCCTTTGCACCAAGCAGATGTTTTTCCTCCAGTAATTGAGAAGTTTGCCTGACTTTTCAATTTTCTGTTGCAGGCCACGAACCCGGACTTGTGCAGCTGGTGAATTACTACAGGGGAGCCGACAAGCTGTGCCGCAAAGCATCCCTGGTGAAGTAAGGAATTCACTGAAACGTTGCAGGGGATTGGTAGAAATTTTTATTCTAACTGTTGGCAACTGCTGAACCTGTTGTAAGGGTATTTCACAGAACAGCTGCCCTGGGGTGTCCCTGCACGTGGTGTCTTCAGACTTCTGTGCTGGTCTGGGCAGATATCTGGGTGCACAATGACCTCTTTTATAACTTCAGGGGAAATGACATTTCCATTGAATTACATCTTCTTGAAACCACAGAGTGTATTGAATCAGACAGACAGGAGCTACAGCTTACAGCCAAATCAAAGAAGAAACAACAGCAAACCGTATCTGTTCTTTCTCCTTGTAGCTACTTAATTAAAACCTACTCCTCTCGTCCTCTGATTCATACAGCGATGAGGCACTAATATTCATTTAGTTAATCAGATTTGTTGGTCAAACAAATGTCTGGAGACATCTCGAGGAAGACCTGGCTCTGGGAGTTATTTCTGCATGGCCAGCTGTGCCGTGATCTCCTGGGGAAATGGGGGTGAGCCTTCAGCCCCATGGTCTCCATCCCCATCTGGGATGCTTGATCTGATCTCAGAGGGAAAGGGGTCACGAGCTGAGCAGCAGCCCAGAGAGCATTACTGCTCTGGCTTCCCCTTTGCCTGCTGTTATCACAGCTTCCTTCCTGCCCTGTTTCGCGGTAGCAATCACGCCTCCTCAGTGGCCTCGTGCAGAGACGGGGCAGGGAACTCACTACAAGCTCTAATTACGTGGAAACTTCTCTACTGATTGCTTCGTGATATGTAAAGTACAAAATATTTAACAAAAGCTTGCAGGTCTGGTTCCAGGAGGAGTGCATTGTTGCAGCTTAAGGTTGCTGTGATCTCTTTAAAAAGACCCTAATTTCGAGGGTCTAAAGAGAATATAATTGTTTAGTACAGGCTGTCTGTAAGATGCTATTCATCACCAGAGCCCAGGTAATGATGACTTGTACTTAGGAAATTATGTCCTCGTGGGTCACTCTGGAGATTAACAATCTGGAGATTAACAGCCTGTATCTCTTCACCCAGGCTAATCAAGACGAGCCCTGAGCTATCGGAGTCCTGCACGTGGTTCCCCGAGTCCTATGTGATTTACCCAACCAACCTGAAGACTCCCGTGGCTCCGGCACAGAACGGGATTCGCCATCTCATAAACAACACAAGGACAGATGAGAGGGAGGTCTTCTTGGCATCTTACAACAGGCGGCGGGAAGGCAAAGAAGGCAACGTGTGGATTGCCAAGTCCTCAGCTGGTGCCAAAGGTTCGTTTTTCAGCAGAATGAGCCACCTTCTCATTATTCCTTACCCCTTACTTGATCAATAGAGTCCTGGGGCTTGGCTGAGCCCAGCTAATATTGAGCCCGTCTGTAAATGGCTTCACCTATCTAATCCATGACAGTCATGCCACCACAGGGCTCTCCTTTTTCTGTTTGGTGGCATCAGGCTCCTGACAAACAGTAACATGCACATGCTAGTTAGGACACAGATGGCAGTGAAAGAAGTCCCTTTTTTTCTAGTCATGCACCTCAAAATACTTGCTGCAGGGGAAGGCAGCAGGGCCCATCAGGCCAAGGGAATGTGGACTGCAAGAGATGGGGAACATAACAGAACGTGGGGAGGAGGACAGTGGACAGGAGAGCAGTCCTCCAGAACAGTGACAAGCATTTCCATGCTGCAGCCGAGCCTGATTTCAGCTGGGCAGAAATACCATTGTTTGTCTTCCACCCAAACCCAAAAACCCTGCCAACGTCCCTCCCATGGTCACACTGAGACTGACTGAGCAGCTGTGAGCACAGTGTACCCAAATCACATCCAGGCCCTGGGCAGCCCCAAGCAGAGCAATGCAGTACCTGCATTTCTCTTTCATTTGAATAAGGCAATAGGTACCCAGGTGATAACGTGCCCTGCCTTTTTCCAGGGTCATTGCACAGCTTGCTGTACAGAAATAATGAGCTATTAGGAAGATAGAGCTGGACACAGCTATGGATGTAATGCTTTGGTAATTATCCTATCTGCCAGTTACAGCAGTATCACTGGCACGCTCTCAGAATTTCATTATGAAAACTCGCCTTGCTGTGTGCGCAGAGCCCAGCCCATGGAAGGACCTGGTCTTTTCAAAGGGAACAGGCCCACAAATACTACTCATATTTGCAGAGTCACTTCTGAAGCAGTTTTATAAAAATCATCAGGAAACATGAAAGCCAGAGGTGGCTGCAGGAGGGCTGCATGATACAACTCATTTGTGCAGGCTTTCCTCACTGCTCTGCTTTCATGGCTCTGTTACTGAGAAGCATCAGAAGAGTATGTGTATTTCATCAAGGAGGAAGGGAGATGAGTCCTTTCGTCACGCCACTGATGGGAAATGTGTCTGTGCAGTGTAACTGTCTGGCAAAGAATCAGTCTGGAAAACTGAAAAGGCCGTGGCTGTTACTCACTGCAGCATGGGGAGGTTTAAACTCTCCACATACTTTATTTAAGCGTGATCCTGTCTTCTTTTCTGCATTAAAGCAAAGTAACTTTTTGTATTCATCACTGTGCTGCAGAACTCAGGATGGGAATTAAAGTGGAAAGAGAGCCTCACGCTAATCTTCTAGAGAGACATTTAAATGTCTGGGGATTACTTCTGATGAAGCAGAAAGCTTGTCAGCATTAATTGCTGAGGCAATTTCAGTTCAGAGACAGCCCCTGATTCGGGAGAATTCTAGGAGAAGCTTGGTTGTCCATCAGTAAAAGGAAAACTAAAGGTTTAGGATGTCCTGACTTAATGCTAGGAATGCTAGGGAAGCTGGGAAGCTAGCGACTCACAGGTATGCTCCAAACCATTGTTATCCTACTGGTGCCCCACTGAAGAGCATTTACTTCTTTCCACTCAGTATTTCCTAAAAAAGAAAAAAAAATCACAAAATTAAGAGTAAATTATCAGCTTTAGTCTAAAAGGTTAATTAAATGCTTAACAACAGGCCACAGTGCCAGAGAGGTGTTAGGTAATTTTACCTGAGCTGGTTTATCCTTCAGTGGCACCGTGCCATCCCTTTATCAAATCCCAGAAGGATCTGTTCCCTCTTCACTGCTCTGCAGCAGTGATTTCATGTCTGGACTCGTGCAAGAAATGAACAGCGACAGCTTCAGCCAAAATGTGGCAGTATTTAAAAGACACATCTGAATTCTTTAATGAAGAGTTTCCATAGAAGGGGAAAACACTGACTACATGGATGAGCATTTTGAAACAGTTCTTTTCCTAATCCATCGCGATGATTTCAATAGTAACTTAAATGGAGTCAGTGAGCAGGGGAACACTGTTTGCATGTCTGCTTCTGGCAGACAGAAAAGCCAGGCAGGGGAAGAAAGTCTTAGTATAGGATGAAGCAAACCTCCCTCCCCAAAGAAACAAAATAAAGAAAAATCTCACAAGCTGCCAAAGCCCCTTCTCTTCAAACTGCTGAAAAACAGGGAAAAGCAGAAGAAAACTTAAAAAGTGCTAAATGCCCCTCCCTGCTAAGCCCAGCTGGAAAAAAAAAAAGCCAGAAAAGAAAATCAAATTCTCCCAACAAAGCAGCTGCCTCACCTCTTGCCAAGGTCCCCAATTGCTCTGCATCTGCTCACACCTAAATAGCTGTCCCCTACACACAGGCCCCAGGCAGACCACGCCATCTCAGTACCCTTGGTTTCCATCTACGTTAGCTCCAGCTGGAAGGGAACCAAATGTCCTATGGCATGGAAAAGGGGAGAT